AACACCTCAAAGCCAAGACAATTAAACATAAGTAAAAGACATATAGACGTTCAACATATAGACACAGACAGCATTCTTAGGTACGACATGTGAAATCATAAGTAACTGCAGTTTTACGTACACAGGCTAAAATGATTAAAAAAAAAAAACAAAACACTGTTACATAGCTGAAAAAGAAGAAAAGTTCTACCATTTAAGTTTTTTCCTTTTTCTTAAATAAATATCTCAGGTCCTCAATAGGTTCACAAGACCAGTGGGGTTTCATCTCTATGACAGTTCCATCTGGGGCTTTCTTAACTCTGGTGTGATGTACCCAGGGTTTTATGCCCACAACTTCAAAGAAGTATGTATGGTCAGTAAAACGTCATGTGGCCCAACCCATTTCTCTGACAGTTGGCTTTGGGCAGCTCCACTCTGCCAAACCTTGAGTAAGACCTGATCTCCAGGTCTGAAGGGATGCAATGGTTCATCAGGAGGCATAGATATCCTTGATATTGCAAAGTTGTGTATTACTGTCAAGACCTCCTGGATGTGTTTCACATATTGTGTGACCCAACAATCCTGTGCAATATCTGGAGTGGCTTTCAGAACTGAGGCCTAGAGGGATCTACCAAACACAATTTCAAAGGGGCTTAACTGTAGCCCACTTCTAGATGCCACTCTTATCTGAAGGAGGGCAAGGGGTAATACCTGGTCCCAACGCAGTTGTGTTTCTCCACAAAATTCTGCAGAGTTCCTTAGGACATCCTTCCCCTTAACAATATCATTGCCCAGTGGACCTCTTCTGTCTTGTCTGCTGTTCCCCTCAGTAGTGGACTTCGTCAGTCTGCCTGTTCTGCTCTCCACTTTGTCTCTGAGGAATCCTCCTACCACCCCTGCACCTCTGGCATGTATCCCAGTTCTTGTGTGTGCAAATAAATAAATCTGTAAAAGAAAGAAAGAAAGAAATATCATATGATCCAGCTATTTCACTTCTGGATCATATTGAAAGGAAATGAAAACACTCAAAAGCTATCTGTACCTGCCCCCCAGGTTTATCGCAGCATTATTTAAAATAGCCAAGATATGGAAGCAACCTAAGTACTGGTTGGATGTTGGGATAAAGAAAATGTGGTATGTCTATAAAATGGACTAGCACTTACTCATAAAAAAAGGAAAGACATTTTGCCATTTGTGACAATGGGGATGGGCCTTGAGGACATCATGCTGAGTGAAGTAAATCAAAGACGAGTACCACATGGTCCCACTTATGTGTAGAACCTAAAACAAACAAAACAAATTTCAAACTCATAGACACAGAGAACAAACTGGTGGTTATCAGAGGTGGTGGGGTTGGAGGTGGGGGAGCACAAAACAGGTGAAGGTAGTCAATGAGGCAAAACTAAAAAATAGGAACTGGTATAACTAAATCTTGAACCAAGGGCCTGAAGCCCAAAGTTTTAATTATTTATGCTGTGTAACCAACTGGAATTCTTCTCCATAGTCCAGGAGACACACACATTCTAGCTTTAAGAGATAATACCACTTTTTGTGTCTGTAGAGTGAATTTCTACATAAACATCACAAATAGCATTTTATTGTCCCTCAGGACTTCACTTCCCATAATTTTGATAAGTTCTCCCTGAACACACAAAGAACAATTCTGACAGGTTTGAGTTCAGGGGGCCCTCTCCCCCTACGATAAGCCTGAAAGCACTTGGCCAGGGTGGGTTGTCTGATGAGACTGTTAAGGGGAAGGATGTCCTAAGAGAACTCTGCAGAGTTTGGTGTACTTCACCCCTACTACAACTTTCTGGATTCCACCCCCTAGTCCAGTGATTGGAAAACTACAACTCCCAGCAGCACCAAGGAGAGAACTGTGAGGACCAAGGGCGGAGCTAGGCAGGCATTCTGGGACTTTGGGGGATAAATAGAGAGCGGTTTTCCAACTGTCACTCTGGAGAGGTAATGGCTCTCTCTCTCTCTCTCTCTGGAGCAACGGCTCTCAGACCATATGACTGGGGGCTAGCAGTTAGTGACTAGAGTTCCAAGTTAGCCGACCCGATAAGATATTCCATTTACCTTGTATCCCTCTCTCTTTCCCTAAGTTGTGCCTTTTCCTTTCCCCATTTTGTAAATAAACCCATTATCCTTTTTGTGTGTGTCTGCAGAAAATTATATTTTAAGCACACAGGTGAGGAGCCACAGACAGGCAGCCCAAGTTCACTCTGGGCTGCCCTGTAAAAAGACCACTTTGTAGTGCCAGGCAGTGTG